ACCATGGGCTCATTACATTTCCATTTAAATTGCAAATGGATTTCTTCGAGGCTTCATCTTCCATTCCCATTTCCACTGCGTGTGTGTGTGTCAGCGTGGATGTACAGTAGAGGTGTGTTTCCATGGACACCTCTGGAGCTCAAGCACCTCGCCTGCATTAATTTAATTGTGAGCATGAGACAAAAGTGAAGACCCACCTTGTGTCACCTGTGTCTTTGTTTTCCTTATTTTCCATTTTTATGTGGAGCACAACAGGGATAATTACCTTTAACGTGAAGTGCTTGTCAGTCATTAAATGGCTGTCATCAAGTCACACACACACAGTCCCCTGGGAGCAGTGTGAGCTAATTCCTGGGCAGTAAAAGCCTGTGATTATGTGTTGCTGGGAAGATTACAGTGAACGATTACTGATGTGGAATTTAAACAGTGGGGAATGAACAGCCAAATTGAGCAGCAGCAGGAGACTGACATTATCGCAGATAAGGTTCTTGTTAAGCCGTTTGCGCTGCAGAGCTGCATTATGACCACATTTAAATAACACTTCTTGACATTTTAACACTGTGGGATGTAAAGTTTTATTTCTATTTCTTGGTTAATTTATGGTACTGGTCAATTTATTTTTTAAACTATTATTTATATTATATACAAAGTAATAGATTTAAATTTGTGCATATGCGCTTATTCTCTTTCTTTTTGAGAGTTAGACGAGAGGATTGATACCACTCACATATTGTCCATTTAATATAATGTAGGAGTGAGGAGTTTTCTGTGTTGGGAAGGGTGGGAAATATATATCTGGTCCAGATATATAGAAATATTTGGTCATTTGCAAGCTAGTGTATGTGTTATAGATTTTTGGGTGGGTTGTACCAATGCTATGATCTTCATTGGAACACTTGTCTGTCCTCACAGCCATGGACCACAGCAGCAGCAGCAGCAGCCACTTTTGATAATGCTTTGCTTTTTTGGGGAATGTTCTTGCAGGTAGGCAGCTGTCAGGCCGGTTGCTCCACGGTGGTGTGAAACAGCCTGAAACGTCTATCACAAAATGTGGAACTGTTATTTCAAGTGTGAGAAGATAAAATAAGCACACTAAGTTAATTTCTATTATTTTCTAATATCCATTAAAGTTGAGCTTTGACAGATAGACAAATGGACGGACGGATGGATACATGAACGGCAGGGTCTTTACTATGACATCTCTTGGGATTCATTTATTTCATTGGCTTGTTTGGCCATAATGGGCTTTATATGATGACTCCTCACCCCTGTCAGATTCCACTATGATCCAAACAAACACACACATTCATCACCATCTTACACACACACACACACACACACACACACACACACACACAGTTCCGATCAATG